TGATGATGATGATGATGATGAAATCAGTACACACTTGGAAATTCTTTTATATTGCAAACATATTGTATTAAAGCTTTTGGTGTACATGTTGAATATGAACTTCATTTCCATCTCCATGTCAGTTTTCTTTTTTCAGATGCATTGAAATTACTGGGGTTTATTTGTACAATCACATTTTCCTTTTACACCATAGACACCCTGTTGATGCTGCATTTTGCTTTGGCCAAATCTAAACTTGAGTATGTTTCTTTTGCTTGGAACTGTGTTATGATTACTGCCTCCAATAAATTCGAGCACATGCAAATAAACTTTGTGCCCCTTTGTCGCAGTAGAGTCTTTCATGTTATTGAGTATCACAGGTTCATTTCCCGATGAGGTCATTGGAGTTTTCGATTGACCTAATCCTTCCAGGTGCATTATGGCCCTGGGGTCGACTCAGCCTGTAACAGAAATGAGTGCCAGGAATCTTCATGGGGGTAAAGGGTGGCCAGCATGTGAGGCTAACAACCTCACCGTCATCTGTGAGCCAACTGTCTAGAAAATGTGGGAGCCTAGATGTCTCACAACCCTATGGGCCTCCATGACCTGTTGCAAGGATAATGTCATCACTCCAATGCATAATTTTTAATGAATGTGTTTAACAGCAGTAATTGTTGCCCCTCTGTCTTTGAAATAGTCAGCATTCATGTTCCTGCTCAGAAAATATATAACTTTACCTGGTTCATTTGCTTTCCAGCTACCTTCCTTCAGCTAGATGTGTTTCTGCTGCTAATGCAGTTTGTAATCTACAGATATGCTTAGAAACTTATGCTTAAATGTAAAAAACTTTAACTAATCAATTTTTGTTTTCTTTTTGTCTATATATTGTGTTATTGCTGATGATTATTTGTATTTGTGGGACTCTATAATTGGCCACTGGCTGTTCAGCTTTATATGTAAATAAATAAAAAATTGAATTACTACTACTACTGCTGCTGCTGCTGCTGCTTTTGTTGTTATTGTTCAATATCAGTAAAAGTGTGTGTTTAAATATGATCATGGAGTGGGATAACAAATTGTATTACTTTTGCCATTTGTAGATGGTAATGCATGATAAAGTTTGGTACTAAGTTTTTATTTACATTTCACAGGGAAGCTTGAAATCTGAAGGCGCTGTACTGATGTCCTTAAATTATGAAACTAGATTCAGTCTTCAGGACATTAAAACATCATGGCTGCATAAAAAAATGCTTTTCCATTCATCTTCTAAACAGGCCAACAAAATAGTTTCTTTTAATTTAACTGACATTGGTGAAGGCATCAATGAAGTAACTGTCAAGGAATGGTCAGTATGAGATGCATACATGTTGTATCAAGGTAACATTATTCCTATTACATAGAGCCAGGCATGGTCTCTTCTGTCCTTGTGAAATTAATTACCTAAGCTAATGTGGTTTTACTGATTCTTATTACCTGTCATGGAAGACGGTGAGACTTTGTTGCTGCAAGGGCAGCAGATAGATTAAAGCTATGTTAAGGGTGGTGAGAAGAACATTTGGACCCAAATGGAAGCCTGTGACATGAGCCTGGAGAAAACTGTATGGTGAGGAACCTTATAATTTGTACTCATGCTAAATATCATGCCGGTCACTGTAGCTGGGCGGTTTAAGGCATGTACTGTCTTCGCTCACTCGGAAGCTGGGATTGTGGGTTCGAATCCCACACAAGGCATGGATGTTTGGTATGTGTATGTGTTTATTCTGTATTTGTGTTGCCCTGTGTTTAGGTAGAGGCCTTGCGATGTGCTGATCACTTGTCCAAGGAGTCCTACCGTCTGTAAAATGATCAAAATGAAAAAAACAACCTTGACACCGTAAGGTATCAGAGGAATGGATTAAGTAAGTAAGCTAAATATCACTAGGGTAATCAAATCAAGGAGTATGAGATTAACAGGGTATGTAGCACACATTGAATAGAGTTTTGATCAGAAATCCCGAATGGGAGAGACCATTTGGAAATGTAGATATAGATGAAAGTGTGCCTTGCACAACAGTGGCATCACATGTCCTGGTTCAGTAGACCTAATGCCACATTTTGAAATATAAATTGCATTACTGCCAAGTTCAAATTATCCATCAGCGCCAAAGTAATGGAAGATTAAAATTCAGCTGGCAAGGGTTAACAGAGATGTGTTCACTGGATTCAACTGGTTGACAGTGGGGTCATGTGGTGATCTCTTGTGAACTGTGAACATGGTAATAAACCTGAGTTCCATAAAATTTCCTATCAATGAAAGACTTTTAGCTTTGCAAAAAAGCCCGGGCTCTGTGGAGTTAGTTTGGGTTGGAGATGTTATGATATTACAAGTATTGTATATTAGTATGCTACAAGTAGGTCTTATTACTTGATGTCAGTAGTCTGAATCTGCATCTGAATTATTATTAACTGTGTCTTTATTTGCCATGTATATTCATTGAGTAGCAGATTACATTTAGATAGACCTTAATATTGGTAATGTTATATCAGCTGCATCCACCAGTATTTATTGGTGTGAAAGAAATGTGAATTTTGGATTTTGGAGAAAGCTAATTAATTTAATTTAATTTAGGTTTGTTAAAGTTGGTGACAAGGTGTCGCAGTTTGACAATGTATGTGAAGTTCAGAGTGACAAGGCCTCTGTAACAATCACAAGTCGGTATGACGGAATCATCAGGAAGATTTATTACGATGTAGATGACATTGCATCAGTGGGAAAACCTCTAGTGGATATTGAAGTGGAAGAAATATCAGGTATGCTATACAGATGAAACAGATTTGACAAGCAAACCTTTAAATTAAATAATTAATGGTCTTAAAGGTACTTTAGAATGAAGTTGCACCAAAATACAGCATCAGGCCTTTCATTATTATTTCCCCCATTTTTGGATCCACTGTATGGCCTCTTGCACCAGCCCCAGATGATAGATGGTGGTGATTGTGGAGCAATTGGTGAAATGTGAGTTGGTAGGGGAACCTGAAGCACTTGGAGGAAACCCGCCCCAGTGCCACTTTGTCCACCACAAATCCCACATGACCTGACCTGAGCTCGAACCTGGGCCACTGCGGTGGAAAGAGTGTGGCTAACCACCTGACCTATGGCATGGCCTTAGGCTCTTCATTAACTTTACACTTTAAGGAGGAAGCAGTTTCTGCAGTTAGAATTGGGTATCTGATGTTAGAATCAGTGGTTCCATAAGGGAACCATTGGAATAAGAGTTAGCCATATGCACGTAGTTGTTGGTATTAAACATCCAGTTAGCTTGGCAGGCACAGTCTTGCCTGATTTGTATTTTGGAGGTATATCATCCTGGACATCACCAGTCATCATTGAATTTCTTGTGGTTTTTCTTAATCATATTAAGGTGAAAGTGCTTCCCCATCTCATCCCATATTAAATATTCCATGTTACTGATAGGGTATCATCAGATAAACTTAAACCAACTATGCAAACACATGTCACTAAACATCTTGAAACATTATTTATTTTGATTTGCCTTTAACAGTTCCCAGGGTTTCTTGCAATGGGAGGAAGGATCCTCTTTAGGGGCTCAATAAGGTGCGAACTTTCTGGTTACATATTTCAAAGGTTCCAAAGTACTCTAAAGCTTTCTTAGCCCTGAATGATGTCTGCTGTATAAAAGCCTGTGTGGATTATTTCAGAAATATGCCAGTCCTCTTGAAACACTGTCAACTGTATGTGAGCAGTATTACCAGTAAATTGTAACAGTATATGACGAATGTTTATTATGTCCAGGAATTATAGTGTCAGTGTGTATAAAAAGAATCATTTCTTAACAGGTGCAGTTGGAATAAGTTTAGAAAGTGAAAGGAAATCAACACCAATTACAGAGGAAGATAAAGTGCCCTTTTTGCTAGACAAGATTCTTGCCACACCAGCAGTAAGGAGAATAGCAATAGAAAATAATGTAAGATTTTAAATTGTTTTCATACAGAAGGGAGCTGATAAATTATCCTTCTCTTTTTAATACTGCGTTTTAGCCTCATATTACATATAGAATATCTTATTCAGTTTGTCATACACTATAGACTAGTTTAACTATACAGTTTCTGCAGTTGCATATATTTCGGCCACAATTTTTGTCCGTCATCAGGTAGTATTCAATACAGCCAGTCTTAGCTCTCTCTGCTATTCCCCTTCCATTGGTCAATGTTTACATTTGGCTGAAGGTGATATTGTTGTTTTACAGTGTGGGTTTTTGGTTGTGGACTTAAACAAATACTTAAGATCTTTAAGGAATGCATGCAGTTCTATGCAAGTTTTTGTTTTTCCTGTCGAACATCGTCGAATAACTCACTCACATTCTTCTGTGCATAACTGACTTTATTGGTCGTACAGTGTCACTACATGTTTCGACTCTTGGAGCCATCATCAGGCAATACATTAACACTTTGTGGACTGGTCACATATTATGATTTTAGGACACGTTATGTTGCAACACACTATACCTTGCTCTGGTGCCACGCAGATACATAACTGGTGCGTAATAGACCTCCCGAATGTTTGCTTAGTAGTCAGTAACATGACCTCACTTTTCCTATTCCACTCCAAAGAAAAATGCCTTTGTTTGTCTTCAAGCTGTATGTACCAGGCAATAAGTTAGTAGTGCAATATGGATCAAGGACGAAAGCAGTTGAAGAGCAAGCGATCTCTCAGAGAGCAAGAAAGTATGGCCTACTTGTTCGTGTAGTTTCTGAAAGCACTTCAGGCCATATTGGAAATTTAGAAATTTATTCTGGTGAAGGCAAGAAATTACAAGAAACTATTGTTTCTCTTTTGGAACCCTATCTTGATCAAAATTACCATGGCTATCAAGACAATTATTATAACAATGTGGTAACTGCAGAGTACCTTCTTTCGAGAAAAGTATATGTTTGTGGAACAGTTAGGGTGAACAGAGGCCTTCCTCCAGATCTGAAAGAGGAATGTAAATCCCTGAAACGTGGTGAAACCACATTCAGGAGGACAGGAGGAAGGGGATATTCTTCTTCCATCCTGGAGGGATACTCGTGTTGTGAATATGATTTCCACAATTCACAATTCAAGCATGGTTGATGTTCAAAGGAACCACGGACAAGTAAAGAAGCCTATTTGTATTTCTTGAGTATAATATGTTCATGAATGGAGTTGATAGAGCCGATCAATACTTGGCCTATTATTCTCTTCCTAGGAAAACAATAAAGTGGACAAGGAAAGTTGCCTTGTGGCTTATAAATTGTGCCATTTTCAATTCATTTTTGTTTTACAAAAATCTAAACCCTGATTCGAAATTGAAATACAAAGCATTTCTGATGAATGTGGCAAAGGTCTGGGCTACAGACCAGATGGTGGTGGCAGAACCAGAGTCAGACACAGACTTAGTGCAGCCGGGCCCATCAATTCTCACCCCATGCAGGCCTCATGTGGGCCCCCCTGGGTGACTCTCGGGCGATATGCGGAAACATACCCTTGTGAAAATTGTGAAAAGTGAACATTCCAAGGGGAAGCATCCTTCTAGGCAGTCCCATGTTTGCACAGTTCACAAAAAAAGGAGTATGACTGCCTACATTTGCAAGTTCTCTGTAATGCCACTTCACAAAGGGGAATATTTCCAGAAATATCACACTCTCAAGCACTTCTCGGAGCATTGGTAAGTGTTCTCCAAAAATTTTAGTTCATAAAATTAATTAGGAGATTTTATATTAATTTTTAAAGTGAACAGTGCACAAGTTAGGGTAGTAGGTTTAAAAATGCTGGTCCCAAGGCTGATTTAAATATTTAAATTGCTGGTCTGCAAAGTGTTAACAAGCCTTATACTATTGAATTTTGCCTTCTATATGGATCCATATATTGTGTTTATCATTGCATGTTACGAATAAAATGAAAAATATGGCGTGCTTCTCTCACTTTCACTAATCACTTTTATATGCACAGATTAAGTGGTTCTATACTGAACCTAAACTTGTTTAAAATGTATTAAACAAGCCTTCAAAACTTATTAAAAGTGAGTTATTTTGTCTTTGGTGTGTTTGACAGGAATCCTTAAATGCTAGTCGCACAGGTAGCATTTATAAGTACATGAACATAAACTGTTGAATTGCAATTTTTTTTAATAAGTTCTAGTTCATTCTAGTAGCTCTTATCAGAATATTTCTCACTGCAAATTCTTAGAATAATTAATGCATACCTGAGTATAAGTCACAATTTTCTTTTATTGCTATTGGGATGGGACTAAGTCCCTTGTACTGCGGCCACTTCTGGCCTATCGTACCAACCCCACATGATAGGTTAGGGTGATTGTGGAGCAATTGGTGGAATGAAGATTGGCAGGGGAAACCAAAGTACTCGGAGAAAACCTGCCTCAGTGCCACTTTGTCCACCACAAATCCCACTTGACCAGACCCAGGATCGAACCCTGGACACAGTGGTGGGAAGCCGGCGACTAACTGTTCGAGCTATGGCATGGCCCTAAGTCACGTTTAGTACAAGATTGGTATTAAGTCCTGAATATTAATATTTAAGAATTAGGCTGGTAAGTAATGATCAGTTACAAAGTCTATAACTAAAAGCCTACATTGTAAACAACAATATGACCTTCCCCAAAGTGTAAACGTTGGCCAAAGGAAGGGGAGTAGCAGAGAGAGTTGAGCGTGCCTGTGTAAGTACTACCTGATGATGAGCAAAAATAGCTGTTGTAATGTCATAAGTGTACAAACTGTATAGCTATCCTAGAATTATACATATATTGTGAGGCTGAAATGGAGAATGAGATCATTCTCTTATGTTTTTCTTATTATCATTAAATTTATGTGAACTCTTGGTGGTTTGGAAACGTTCTCTGATTTGACTTTAGCATTGCAGCCTTCTGGCAGATTCTCTACAATTTGGGGCAAGCATATTTACAGTAGTTTGATTGATTTTAGAGAATTAAACAGTATATTCTTTCTTAACCCATTGGCTTTGGTTTACAGAACCATTTCCTATAACACTTGAGTGAACTGAGGACCAGCATGCAGAACTATTCCATCTTCTCAGTATGTAATTTCAGCTTTTCCTCAGAGATTTTGTCATTTTTGGTGTTGTGTTGTATCTTAAAATGCCTCAATAAGATGCGTGGCATATCTTGGTGGCAGTGAAATATTATTTTTGTCATTAGGTGTTTGTTTTGTGTAAATAACCAATGTATTTTCCTGTACCCAGAAACTTAAAGCCCAGTGGGTTAACTGCTGTTCTTAATAAAAAGCATGTCCAAGCTCTGGTTTTGGTTCCTATCTCCATAGTAAAGTAAAACATTTTCCTTTTAAATGGATGCCTTTAACAAGTAACAAAGTAAGCTCCTGTAGTGCTGCATTAAAATTTTAATCAGTTGTCAGACTGAAGGACCTATTCTATGTAAACGAACATTGCAGGTATCAGTTTTCATGTTGTTCAGGTATCGCCCTCGTCATCCGAAGGAATGTGTTCAGTTCAGAATATTTGTTGAAGATTTACTAACTTCAAATTTTATATCCATTTTGTCAAATGTTTATAGTCTTTAAAAGTCCTGCACTTGGATGAGGCTAATCAATAATTTAAATGTTCTTTGTTACTAAGAGTCCAAATTAAAATAAATTATTAAAGTATTTTGATTGGCAGTGTGCAACACACACGGGATTTGTTTTGGATACCATGTTTTGTCTTGTAATATAGTTTGTTCCTCTTTTGACTTACATGCATATTGCCAAATAATTGATGCATACCAACAAACTTCTTATTTTCTTTCACACACACTGCCCATTCTTGTGAAAGTTTGAATTTGTAATGTCCCACATCTACTCTTTGCGGTGTGTGTTCAACCTTGAGGCTAGAGCCAAGAATGAGATTTTCAGCAAAGAAATCGCTGGTATAGTTTCTAAGCATTATACTAGAAGTTTGAAATTTTGCTAGTAATGCAGTAAAATGTTAATATTATTAATTAGACACACTTTGTTTGAGATGTGTGAAGGATCACATATTTTAAATAGCTAATGGAAACAACATATTTCAGTTTGTCATGGCAAAGAAAAGTATTCTTTACAAGCTTTATGGATTTTTCTGTATTCAATTAATATATTTGAAAATTTGTTACAATTCATTAATAGATTAAGCTAAGCAGTGTAAGTGGATCTGGAAAGGGTGGTAGAGTTCTGAAAGAAGATATATTAGAATACCTGAAGAAGATATCATCTGTATCTGACACAAGAACTGCATCTGAAACTAAATGTACTACACAGGAATCTGTTACAAGATCTCTGGCAACAAGTGATTATACAGAACCCATACAAGGCTTCAGAAAAGCAATGGTGAAATCAATGACAGAGTCTTGGGTAAGAAGTACATCAGTCTGTGTATAAATTTATCAAGTTTGAGTGCATGTGAATCGTAATTTTTAGCAACACACACATTCTGTTGAAGAGGTTTGCTGTTATTTTTAGTAGCTCTCTGTGTTGTGTTAGTGGAGGAAGTTATTGTACAGTAATCAGTATTGAGCACACTTTTATGTAAGAAAAATGGGAGGCCCATCAACATGCATGTTTATATAGGCTTTTACTCTTAGAAACAAATGCTATCAAACAATGATATTCATGTATGGTAGTAGCATTCATGACTTGATCAGTAGGCATTAGATTTCTATGCACTAAAACCTGACAAAATATGCATGCATGTATGTTCTAGAATAACAAAAATTTATTTTCAGAATGCAAAAATATTCTATTATTTAGCATGTATAGGTGCATAAAAGCTCATAGTAAGTTGCTGATGAGATCTCCACTGATTCCTGTCTTCATTTCTGTCAGTTATAATATACGTAGTTCTCACATAATTTATGCCTGTCCATAGGTTATTCTTTTCTCATTTCTCTCTGGTTATACTATGTTTACTTGCTCAATATGCACATCCTTAATTGTAGACGAGATGTTTTGGAAAATCACTAAATATGGAATTTCTACCCTTGGTAAAATCTCATCAGACATACTTTTTATGAAAAAATGGAATTAAAGTTGAATGACTTATGACAACATAGTATTGGAAACTGTAATCACATTTTCCACAAATATTATACACTGGTTAAATATTAATGGGCATTCTAATCTCAGTGTTAGCCAACAAATCACATCTCTAGGTTCAACTATCCATACTGTGTTACCATATCACATTCATCTTTAATCACATTTTCTGCCAAAACTGTGCACTGGATTCAAGTTCATTAAAGAATCATGTGCTGGAGTCCATAGGCATTAATATCCATAATATGTTGCCGTGTAATGTTCCATGGTAATTGTCTCAATGTAATGTGTAAAATTATATTCTGAAAAGTAGTATTCACATATTTTACACTCCTTAACTATCAGGCACCCTGTTTTGCATAAAGGAGCACTAAAATTACATCTGTAAATGTGGTACAATTTGTCTTGCAGCATGTCACGATGTTTTTTACTTGCTCTCTCGCTCTCTCTCACGGTGGAGTATGTTGGTTGGGCTAAATTTATACGTGTAGGACCTTGCACCATCCTCAGATATCATGTTTGAACAGGGTCACTGAGTTGTATCTCTTCTGGAAGCTGTAAACCATGACTCACCCCCTACTGGGGCTGAAAGAAAGGGCTACCCAGGTGTCAGCCTGGATCGAAGCCAGTGATATGGAAATCAAAACCAGCTTACCACACAAGTAACATAAAGGTTTATTAAATGATGTACACAAGATAATAAATAGAGTGAATATAAATAATAAGACAAATGTCGATAATAACTGTGAAGGAGATCGTAAACACAAACCAGGAGTTGGGTACAGCATGGGGTGGCTCACTCACCCAAACCCAGTTATGAAGCCAAGCAGCAGAACGAAATTTAGAAGCCAGGTAGAGGAAGGAGGAGAAGGGGGGAGGGAAAGGAAGGAAAGTAGAATACACAAGAAAGGGACAGACTTCATTTCAGCTTGTTCATTCAAGACTTCACTTAGGGCCATACCAGAGGCTTCTGCCTTTCTTGTTGACTGTGATAGTGTCTTGAAATGTGTATTAATTAAAGCTGGACCTTTGCACTGTTTTGGCATCAAACCCCTTCCAACCTTGCTAGATTGATGCATGCATGGAACTCAGACAATCAGTAAATTGTTTTACATCAAAATGATCAGTGTAAAACAGCAGCATCAGTCCTTAACCCCAGTGAGTTAGGCTGTTGTCTGGAAGTATTGAGGCATATGTAGTTCATCTCTGTATTCATACATCTCAGTTTGGAGTGTGGCCTTTACAGACACCTTCTGTATGAGTGATATCAAGTTATTCACTTCTGGAGAATTTTCCAGAATTGTCTTCATGACTGTTAACCCTTTCTGGTTGGATCTGGATATGTAGTTGACATGGTCACAGTGCTTCCATGGTCGAATATTGGTGTATGATTGACAAAGATTCTTTTGCATTTCTGTGGTCACATGTTGATCATATGTCACTACTGGCCACTGTATTCTGTGCCAGCATATTCATGAATGCTTTATCTGCCATCTGGAAGTCATAATTTGAACTTCTTGAGGAATAAATGCCATTTATATATTACAGCGTGTCACGTATTAGCAGCATGCTTTTACGTTTGGCCGAACCCCAGCCCTCTGGATTGAAAAAATGGATCATATTGTTTGATGTGGATGAGTGAAGAATCAAGTGATGAGATTTCGGAAAGTGAGAATGAGAGTGAAACAGGTGTTGTTGCGTGTTGATGGGAGTTAAGACGTGACAATCCATGACAAGAAACCGAAGACGTACACATTTATTAAAAATGCAGGGTCACAATTTAACCTCCTGCCAGATGCAGAGCCCATGGATTATTTTCTTCTATTTTTCAATTATGAGCTTTTGATTAACATTGTTATAAAGACACAGGTACACGAGACACAAAATTGTCGAATTTCAGCTAAGCCCATGGTCGACTTGGAGTAGGTGGGCTGATGTGTGTCCTCCTGAAGTGAAGGCGTTTTTAGGTCTAAATATATATATGGGCCTGAACCCATTACCCAACATAAAATACTACTGGTCTATTGGGAAGAAACCACAGATAAAATTGTTTACTGGTGTAATTTCCAGAGATTACTTTTTACTGATATTTTGGATGATGCATGTGTGAAAATGATACCACCATGTAAAGCAATCGGGCCATCAAAGGACCAAGAAAGTATATGGGGTGATAGAACATATGTACGAGGTTGTATCAGAAAGTTCCTGGACTCTTATTGTTGTAACTGCCTTGGTGAAATAAGATAAAAGGGGAGGCCAAGGTCACACTTCCACAAGCCTATTGCATCAGTCTGCCACGTGACACCGTCCTGTGAACATGCATTGTTTTTACACAAGTGCTTTTTCGACTTTGTGTTTCATTTTGTCTGCAATGAATGGCAAAATTGAGCAATGTAAAATACTTTGTGAGGCTTTTGGAGAACATTCTTTAAGCCAGACGGGGGTTTTTGAATGGCATTCACATTTTAGGGCTGGTCAAGTGTCAGTTGATGATGACAGAAATTCAGGATGACCAAGTACCAGCAAAACAGCATAAAATGTTGAGAAATTTGAGAATTCATACACAAAGACCATTTCCAAATGATCCATGAGCTCACAGACACCGTTGGGATCAGTTATGGAGTTTTCCAGGAGATCTTAACAGAAAATCTGAACATGTACCACATTACTCCTTCATCGTGACAACGCGCCTGCCACATGTCCCTGAAAACCACAGAGTTTGTGACTAACAACAACATGGTTATCATTCCCCATACTCCCTACTTGCTGGACTTAGTACACCATGATTTTGCTTTGTTTCCCAAATTGAAAATGAAACTGAAGGGACAAGAGCTCTTTCTAATGGGCCTAACTGCGTAGGTGTCTTACCCTCTTCACCTGAGGACAGAAACAGACCAGTTTCCAAAACTTCGTGTTTTCTATTTTCCAGAATACTGAACCATGGAAAAAGTCCAAAAACCCAGTAATCCTCTGTGTTATACACGATCATCAGAACCCTTTAGAATATATACCATGGCATGTTAGCAGCAACCATTGTTTCACAGAAATTGCGAAAGGAACAGTTTAGGAAGATCAATGCACTCTCTGTTCCAGTAATGTTTGTCTTGAGGTACTGGGTATTCAGTTTTTTGTAGCTCCTACGTGGACACTTGTATTTCAGTGTTGTTTCTGTTGGTACTACTTCTCACATGTAATACATTTCCTGCTCTGCTGAAAAAATATGACTTCAACTGTTTTGTATCCTCCCATCATTTCAAATCCCACTTTTTATAAAAGTAACTACCACAATGAAAATATGCACCCACAGATCTACACTCTCTATTCTTAACTGAGAATTCTATACAGGGGTTGGACAAAATAATGGAAACACTGCAGATACTGTACACATCTCCTTATTAATATGATGTTGGACTACCTTTTGCCTTAAATACAGCAGAAAACCTTTATGGAATGGACTCGTACAAGTTTCAAACAGTCTCTAGTGGAATTTTATACCATTCTTTCTGAAGAACATCTAAAATTGTTACAATTTTTGCTGAATGTAAAATTCCAAGAAACATTTGATTGGAAAACAGCCAGATATGCTGAAAATACACATTAAACAAAAATAGAAAACAAATGCCTTAATTATGCAAAGATATGCAGTAAAAATAAAGTGATATTTGTTACAACATGAAATATACCAAGAATATATAATGGGACAGTCTACACAGTAATAGTTCTGAAAGAGACAAATAGACTCTACAGTGTCAACATTTGTTTTATTAGCTGCTGGTGGTAACACTACATGTTTCGACCCTTTTTCTTGGGTCATCTTCAGGCATGCAAGAATACAGGTATTCTTGAATTGCATTAGTAATCAATATGAATTCATGTTGTGTTTGTATAAATTTTTATACTAATAAATATACTTTGATTTAAATGTAGTTCACATATAGTTTAAAACTTGCCGTTAAAATTTGACATTAAAGAGATAAAAATTAAAATTAGAATTAAACAAATGCCGGCACAGTAGTGTCTGTTTGTCTGTTTCAGAACTATTGTGTAGACTTGTCACATTATATATGTTTCATATGACACACAACAGATGCATACCATAAAAGTTGTAAAATATACTAATACAAAAATATGTAGCATGCATATATGGAAGCTAAGTATGAATTTGCATAGAAATCTGATGTTTAATGATCAGTTTTAAACTTGTTATTACAGATGTAAAATGCTCTTATACACACCTTCTCCCCCTTTCCTTCCTTCCTTCCCTCCTTCATCCCACTCCCCCTCCCTCCCTCATAAATGTAGTTGAAAATCTGATCTGTAACTATATACCACTTCTACATTTAAATGTGCTGTCCATGTTTGTAGACCTGGGTGTTCCCAGCAGAATTTGCAATAGATTTGGTTGCATCCACTGACTGGGGTAAGGATTATACGGTGGGTACAGGTTATAACAGGGCCTTGGTTACAGTTTGTTACCTGCCCTGCATTGCAGCTGCAGCCACTAACCTATTTCTTGCCATGCTTCTCATGTGCAACCTATATGACAGGTGTAAAGACATTGGCTGTGCTCTGCCATTTTAGCTTAAAGAACAATCATTTTTTTGGGTATATGAATATAAATATTTCTAAAACCATCATCCAAAATACCCTTACTCTTAGAATAACATACAGTATTTATTCAAATTTATCTTATTTTGCATTGCACTGGGCACACATGGTGTAACTATGCACTGCATTTATTACTTTTTACACCTGAGATTTGACTGTGGCAAAAGAAAAGTTGGGGGTGTAAAATTCACAGTTTGTTGAATAGGCTGCAAGTACCTCAGGCAGATTAGCTAAAATTAATATTCCAAAGACCCAACAGTGGATGCCTCTTATTTTCATTTGTGAGGTGACCTCAAATTTGGAAAAACTGAATTAAGCTCCACGTGTTGGTAGCCTCAGCACTAGATGGAATTGAATGATTAATTTTATGCTCATGTAGTCTTCGCCCCTAAGGAAGAAGCCCCAGTAGCCATTGAATAGGAGCCAGAATCATTGTGGACCAAAATGGGTTGAGGAGAGAAAAATTATGGAAAACCATTTTACACTGTACAGGTGCCAAAGTATACCTGAATGATGCCAGTAGTAAGGTTTTGGTTGTCAGTGTAGTGCTTCACACATGTGATAAATGTAAATATTGGTCACCATATCCTTATTTGTTCAGAAATTACTTTGAAATTAATTGGTGTTAATATATACTGAGGAAAAGGTATAATGTACCGGAAATGGTATTATCATGTATTTCAGTATCAAAATGCTTTTGAAAAGGAAAGTGACATATCCATGTGGTTTTGAATTGAACATAACAGTGTTTGTGTATGCTATTTAATTAATTTCCTTTCAGGACATACCTCAATTTGTATATAGTGATGAAATATTTGTAATGGAACTGGTGAAATTATTGCCACATATGAAGGAAATTGGAAGTGCAAAAGGCATAAAAGTGACATACATGCCATTTTTCATCAAAGCTGCCTCAAAAGCTCTTGAGAAATTTCCCATTTTAAATGTAAAAGTGGATGAAGCATGTGAAACGCTAACTTACAGAAAATCTCACAATATTGGAGTAGCAATGGACACTTCAAATGGGCTAGTAGTCCCAAATATAAAGAATGTACAGGAACTTAGTCTTTTGGAAGTGGCCAAAGAAATGAACCGGTTACATGAACTGGGGAAAAATGGTGCTCTACGTCAAGAAGATCTGATTGATGGAACTTTCACCTTGTCTAACATTGGAGCAGTAAGTGTTCTTCTTAACTATATGAATATCTGTTGTAGTACACTCTTCTCTAAGTAACCAGCAAACTCATGGAACACAGTCCTTGTTTGGCTAGTAATCTCTTGCTAGTGAGAAATTTCCCCGACTCTTATGGAAATAAAAAATTCATTACTGTGTTCACAAGGGCTCACTCATGGATCTTATTCTGAGCCAGATGAATCCAGACCACACTCATTTTAAGAGTGAGTTTAATATTATCCTCTTGTAAACACCTGGATCTCAACAGTAATCCCCTACCCTTAATGTATTCTGATTAAGAATTTGTATGCATCTCTGATTTCTCCCATATAGTACGTGCCTTTTTATTTCATCACTCTTGTAGTATTGACGAAAAGGACAAATTAAGAAGCTTCTCATTTTGCAGTTTTTTCCGTCTTCATGTTACTTCCACCCTCATACATCCAAATATTCTCATCAGCACTCTGTTCTTGCTCACCCTTGACCTTTGTTCTTCCCTTGAGTGAGAGATCCTACACAAACAAAAACATTAATTTTGTATATTTTAATCTTTACATTGTTAGATAGCAGATGGGAAGATGAAAGATTCTGAACTGAATGGCAGAAACTTTTTCTGAATTTAACCCTTAAGTGGCACCATATTTACAGTAAGTGCAATAGGGATTTGAAACCCAAAATTCCATAAGCTGGATGGAGTTATGATCTATAGTTCATTGTTATTACATGTTCATTTGTTAAGATGGTCATATGTTAATCATTTTTTTATGATATTTTATTAAATGGGAGGGCATTTTGAAGATTAATGATGAAAGTGGTGACATATATTGTAACGGACTTGATCAATGCATTGCCAGGCAGCAGCTCCATAAACATAGTACATTACACAACATTAGAGAGACTGTTTTCTGTGTGTTCTGCGCTGTGACCGTTCATATGCAGTGGCTCAGTAAACACGTTTCAACAATAGAACGGTGTTTTTGTGTGGTCCTTGCTGCGGCTATATAGCAAGATTCCAGGAATAACCAAGACAGAGTAACAGAGTTCAATGGTCTGAGTTCTCGGTGGGAGATAGCCACGGAAAGTTTGTCATAGAAGAACAAGAAGTCGGTTTGTGAAGATTTGGTGTGTGATTAGAAGGCTTCATTCATGTGTAATACTTTGAATGTGTGACAGAGTTCTGAGTTCTTGGTAGGAGACAGCCACCAAAAGTTTGGCAACCTGTGAAGATTTAAAGTGAGTTGAAAACTTTGTGTGTTAGAGTGCATTGGGGCTGGTAGTGTGTAATTTAGTGAGACCTCTATAGTTCCCGTGTTATAAATCCATTGCCAGGATACGACCAGTGAAGACTAGTGAAAATAGACTGAGAAGATTAGTATGGAGTGATTGTGAAGTGTGTAAATCTGTGATAGCACTGTATTTAAATGTGCTTAAGAGAGATTGTAACCAAAGTGCTAATAAAACCAAGTATCTGAACTAGAACCCGTCATTTTCGTCATGTGTACCACCCTACAGGTGACAATATAAATCCATTTTTATTGATATTTTAGAGTGTTAAAATATAATGAATATTTTGTCTGTATATATAGTGACTGCAGCTCAGGGTGAAAATGAATCCACAGTGGCTGCCATCACTTTATAGTGCGCATCACTGGGGCAAGTGGTTACCTTGAAAAATTCAACCATTACATTCACTTGTAGTAACATGCTGCTCTTTTATAGTGTACACGATAGGGAGGTGGTTGATTCAGGGTTCCAACATTTAATCCTGACTCTTTCTTTGTACATGTACTGCTACCACACTATTAGGTTACCTCTCAGCAGTTTCTAGCATACGGGTAACCTTTCGTTCGTCCTGGAATAAAAGTACTTTGAATAACAAAGGTGTGACCCCTTTAGTTCTACACTGCATTTAATCAACAGGTGCTTAACACTCATCAGATGAAATCACTTCACCCTGCCATATGGTTTTGCTAACCTGCTATGCCTCATCAGTTCATCTAATTTCAACCCTCCTACCTCATGTACTGATTGCATCATAACTTCTGGCCCATTTACTAGGAAAGCAGAATGTAATTTTGCTTCATGTTGATAGGGTCTAGCCATTGTCTTCAAGCAGTCCTCATTCACTGCATGATTTTGCCTGTCTCAGACTTCCTAGAGTACATTTCCTTGTCCAGACATCGTGGTCAGAATGATGAAAAAAGTGCCCAGCCGAGAACCTCTGCGAGTTGCAGTCTCTCGCAGTTCAACTGTTCACCCACCCACATCTCAGTGCAGGTCATAGAAGATAGTAATGTTTCATTTTTTCAGTCTTTGTAAAAATGCAAGTCCAGCAGTTAGACTCTCTCTCGTCTACATATGATGCTTCCAAGACTTCCTGGTTGTACCTTCAGTTACCCCAAATTTCCTAATTGTAAATATGGGGTGGCTTTTATTTGCAACATATTGCAGAAAGTTGTAGTTAAGAAATTAGTCATGTCACAAAAATGCATCTCACCTCTCTACTTGCTCTACTTACAGCATATCTTATTCCAAGAAATATGTTCTTATGTTCTGTGAGTCATCTGTACTTTTATTTCTGTGGGCTGGTATAACATAGACTGTAGGTGAGAAGATTACACACAGATATTTGATCTGTTTTTAATTCCATTTGAAAGACAATGGACATAGTGGCCACGTAACAGACCTTATACTTTGTAAAGAAATTGTTTGAACGCATCTTTGTGCGATTCAAATTGAAATGTGGTAAGCAAAGAAACCACATCACAGTTTTCACAACTCTAGCATTATGTTGTAGCTTGAATCAGACAGCCTACAAGTTTTTCATGAAATACTTTACGGGTGAGTTTGGTGCCATATGGACTATGAATTATGAAATGTTCAGGATATGAGGCAGATTTATTCTCATTCATTTCTGTCTTTAAAATTTGCTAATTCAGTAAGACCTTGTTTTATATTGTGGTTACATTCCTATAAATTGTGACATTATGAGAAATGACATTAAGCTGATCAGTTTTTGCTATAAGAGACTTAAGAAATAGGTAGGTTAAATGCCTCAGCGTTTTATCACACCTATGAGATGCATTACAGTACAGCCAGTATGAACACTATTGTAGATCCTTGTATATTCATGGTTATAAGCACATGCAATTAAAAACTTCAGTAATATCTGTTTATCATTTAGCATGATGCATTCTGTTCACCAGCAAGCAAAGATGGAGTGAGTGGTAGAGGCTGATGCTTCATGCCAATTTTACTGTCATCAGATGCACTGTTGCTAGTGAAGTCCGACCAATGTAGTAACGAGTTAACATGATTTTGTGTGGAGTATTGGTATGAAAATAGTATCAATAACAAAACGTTAACAGAAACAGTAATAATTAACCAAGAATTGTCTGTATGCCACTTGCATCCCCAACATGCTCTGTTCCTTCATTGCCTAATCATAAGATAGGGGGTGGTATCAGAAAGTTCCCATACTGCTATTGTTGTAACTGCCTCAGTGAAAGAAGATGAGAGGGGAGGCAAAGGTCACACTTCCACAAGCCTATTGCATCAGCATGTTGCATGACACCACACTGTGAACATGCATTGTTTTTACACAAGTGCTTTTTCAACTTTGCATTTTGTTTTGTCTGTGATGGATGGCAAAATTGAGCAACGTGTCTGCATCAAGTTTTGCATGAAGCTTGGTAAATCTGCTACTGAAACCCTTGAAATGCTTCATGAGGCTTTTAGAGAACATTCTTTAAGCCAGACAGAGGTTCTTAAATGACATTCACGTTTCAAGGCGGGTTGAGTGTCAGTTGAAGATGACAAATGTTCAGGGTGACCAAGCACCAATGAAATGACATAAAATGTTGAAAAAACTCGAGAACTCATTCACGAAAACTGTCACTGAACAATCCATGAGCTCACAGATACCGCTGGGATCAGTTATGGAGTTTTCCAGGAGATTTTACATAACATCATGGTTATCATTCTCCATCCTCCCTACTCTCCAGACTTAGTCCCCTGTGATTTTGCTTTGTTTCCCAAATTAAAAATGAAACTGAAGGGACAATGTTCTGAAACAGTGTCTGACATCGAAAGGGAATCACAAATGGTACTTGACAGCATTAAGGAAAATGACGACCATTGTGCTTTTGAAGCATGGACAAAATTATGGGATCGATGTATATGTTCCCAGTGAGACTATTTTGAAGGAGATAGCAGCCAAAATTGAGTAAGTTAAGCCAGTATTTCTTTTTTGACCTAGTCCAGGAACTGTCTGATAGCACCTCGCAGATGTTTTCCTTTCCTTGTTCTTCCATGCACTGACACAGTGAAGGAGGTTGTGTATGTTCCTGTTAGATAATCACTTCAGTCTTATTATTCCAGCATGCACCAGTTGTGTGAACAAACATTACAGTCGAGTGGTTACCGTTCCTGCTTCATGTTCACAAGGTGCTTCTGAGCTCAGAGAGTGGTTCTTGCAGTATAATTCCTATGTTGTTTCTATTAATAAATGTCCATGTCATCTGTAATCCTTTGTTCTCTGCCACCGCAAAGCCTGTGCAGTTTTATTCCATGCCTCTTTTTGCTTTATGCAGTGATCTGCCAAAAAGCAGCTCCCTTTTTTTTTATTTCACGATTTTCATTTTGTTTATGGCTGAATTCTGAGAAGGACATTGCAACGTGGAATAGCTGTTTTGGAGATATTTCAGAACTGTTCTGCATGTAAAATTTGTTGTGATGTGCACCCATTTTGCTGATGGATTGTCATTGTTTTTGAAGCTGAAAAATCTCAGTATATGTAGCAATGAGCCGCATTTCAGTACTTCAATACGATGGAGTATAATATATCTCATTAGTGGATCACTAGTTGATCAAACATCATGATGGAATGCTTAACATACCTGCTTCATTTCAGCAGGTCTTGAGTTCGGATATTGCCCTGGAGGCCACCTTGACTTCTGAGGTTTTTATATTTTTCTTTACTCCCTTGAGAAAAATGCTGGGGTATGTTGGGCATAACCACTTCCATATCCTTTCAAATTCATTATTTGCCAGTTTTCTTCCTTTGATGTCACATAATCTGAACAAGCTGAAAGCAGAAATAAATCAGGAATAATGGTATCTTTATCTTTGCGACACAGCACATCATACATATCAGACCTATAAAGCTTTCGTCTGCTATGATACCCACTGCTGAGTTTTGTTTCTTTCTCCTTGAATATGCTGTTGATAGCAGCAGTTTGGCTCAACCAAAATTATGTACCTTGTTTTTTTATTTAATGACTTTTCACAACTGAAGGTAAGGTGATTTGTGATTACTGTATTGGAAGAGATGCGGAAGCACATTTTAATATTCTGTTCTGGCTTTTCATGTGTAGAGACTGATAACCATGACAAATCTCAGGAAAGCCAGCATGGGGGCTGAGCTTTTTAACTCTGGGCTTCATGAATACAGAGTAGGAGTCTGAAGCCCTAGACCACAGCATTTGGTAAAATAATTTTATATAGTTCATATGCATGTAATAGATAGCACATTCAGATGATTTAGAATCTGCATCTTTGTGACAGCACGATTGAAGCCAGGAATGGAAACTGTGACCTCATGTACTCTAGCCCTGTCTTCATTTCCTCTATTGTGCCACACTTGATTTGTTTGAATGTTACCACACTGTCTCTTGATAAATCATATATACATTTACTGTCAGAATCATCTTAGGTAAATTGTCAGAAATGGAATCAGTCTCATTTGTATTGATCTTATGAAAAAGTCTTGTCATGGTGATAGCAGCGACTTTGAAATGTATCAAACCCAAGTCCATAAGTTCCAAAATATCAACCTTACATCAGTATTTTACAACTTCAGGTTCAACAAATAACAGAGTACTGTGACACATAGATAAGATCCAGACTGTATATGACATGGGTAAAATATTGTCACAGTTTAGGGGTGTGCATGACTTATAGATGTGTTTTGGACTGGATAATTGGATTTGTTGATACATTATACACACCACTCAGAACCACAGCACTACTGTTGATCTACATACCTTACAGTTCATTGCTGTCACTTGTGTCCTCAGTCTATTACAGTCTCCACTCACCATTTCCTGGCAATGGATTTTAACATAGGAAGTATAACAGTATCACTGAATCACACACTTCAACTATCACCATAGTACAGCACATGTAAAGTCTTCTCTTCACTGCTGGACTTTCAACTCTAAGCTGAACTCACTCGACTCCTCCATCATCTGCAAACTGCCTACTCCGGAATTCTCAATCCAATTCTTTGCTACAACTGCAATTTCTTCTCGCTTATCTTCACGGAGTTCAACTCTTGACTTAGTTCTAATTCTAGCTGCATGAGATTCTCATTATATAGCCTCAGGGTGGCCCCCATAGAAAATACTGCTTCCTCTATTATTCCATGTTGATTCACTTCTGTGGAGATGTGTTTACCGTATCACTGCATTGTAGCGTGCATGGCTCGGACCACAGAAAACACCACTCTTCCTTTGTTGTGTGCGTTTGCTCCCACAGGTGTGTTTAATGAACTGTTGCCTAGCAATGAACTATTCCGGCATCATGTCACAATATTGACTGCTTAGGCATAGTTCACCATGGTTCGCACATTAACCACCATCCCTGCACTTGCAGTTAAGAAGTAAACTGCCAGGTTGAAAAGGCTTAAATTGCTTTTGATTTCTTCATGAATGTGCAACATATGCCATCTACTGTGGGAACAAGGGTGCATCATTATCAGTAAATGAAGCAGACTGTTACATAATCGTTAGAAAGTTACTAGATTCTGTTTTCAACATTTGGTATTATGTGTCAGTGGGAAATTCAGACACACTTCCATAAGGTTTCCTGCACAAGGTATGATGTACCCTTGTTCACAGAGAGATGTACTGCAATTTTTGTTACTGTCACTCCTACACATTTCAGTTTTTCCACTTTCTAAGGACATAATGCAACTGTATGTAATAAATCATGTGAGGTTGTTTTTTAATGTGTTTGGGAATAACACAAACATAATTGAGGTTCATAAAGAAATTAGAATAATAAATTTTGGAAATACTTGTCATTATTCAGTTTGGGAACTATTGTCTTATATGATTTACTAAACTGTGAGAACCAGGATATAAAAAAATAATTTTACTTCTTTTGTATGTGAGTGTGAAGCATGGGCTCATATCTGAGGGAATAGATTAAATTTCAAGTATTTGAAAGAAATTGCTAAGGAAGGTATTTGGACTTAAAGACAGGTTAAGTAAGTTAGAATTTCAGAACATCACATAAGAAGGAACTTTGTGATTAGTACAGGCTACTTACTCCTTTGGGACACTTATATCTAGGAGGCTTAGAGGGAGTGCGGGTATGGATTTGTAAGTAGATGAAGAGTGCAGCCAGGAGTTTGTCAGAGAATCCACTTGAGAAATGTTAACACAGAAAACAGAGAAGATAGGAGGATAACATTAAGATGGATCTTACGGGTATATGTTTTATTAGAGCTTCTCACTGCAGTGATTGTAAATAGTATCGTCTTCTGGGATGTAGTGTGGTACAAGTTTACTGGTGTTTGCAAAGAACAGACTCCCTCCACTGCCAGTACTGTGCTTACTGCTTGCTTGTTTGCCTTACTGTTTGACTCTCAAGAGGGCTGGAGTATGTTTGCTGTGAAATGTCCGTGAACTTTGAGTGGGCTGTGCAGTGTCTCAGCCCATAAGATGGAATTTTTTCTTATGGAGGTAGGTTGTGAAGATGGGAGGTGGATGCAACTAGGGCAGGATCATGTGTAATGGTGGGCTTTCGCATTGGCAATGTTGAACCTTCTAGCTTTGCAACCATAGTGTTAATTATTGTCAGGAATGTTAGCTTCAGCCTTGGCAACAGTTGTGATGTGTATAATCCATCTACTATACCTTAGCTGCAGTAGAGGCAGCATAAGTCTACTTAGTATAGCTTTGTTACATAGAAGGCCATTGCACTGACTTTCTTTCCCATGTAAACAGAACACTTGCACTCTATATGTAGGTGATGATACATGCACTTGATGCTGGAGTGGACCTTTATTGGATTAAACTGTACAAAAAGAAGCTTGCCATCTTGCTTCACAACACTGCCCTTTATAGCTGTATGTTGAAGAGGAGTGTATATTTCCTGAAATTAACTGGTCACATGCCCTAAAAGTACTCTTATTTTGACAAGATGGGCAGTAGAATTTAACACATTTTTAATGACACATGAATGCTGGTAGATCAAGAAAAATTTCTTGAATGTAGTGACAATGGGAAAGAAGTGAGCGTCAGTAGATTGTCTAGTGGTGCATGATTCCAGCATGCGTTTTTATTTGTCATTGTAATATTCAGAGAGATTCATATTGCAGTTTGGCTGCCACATCAAATTACTTAGAAGTTACCTCTATATCTGTGAATGTGGTATTTCTTGCAACTATACAAGTATATATAGGACAGTGTGAAATGATGACACCCTGCATAAGTGTTCATGTATATCCTTTACTTTTCCCGCACATTAGTATGAAAATTGCCATTTTGAATTTTCAGAATCATAAAGGAGTATGTGTTTGTGAGGGAGATAATATGAAGTAAGTAAGTAAGAACACTAGTTGTAGTGAAGGTACGTAACTTGTTGGAGAGCTGAAGACTATAATTTGAAATATGTGCTGTATAATTTGCTATATTATTTGAAAGTAATTTGTAAATGTATATCGTATTTGTATGCAGATTTAAATAAGCATTGTGCAGATGATCGGATTTCTGAGAATCATAGGGGGATCTGCAAATTGACTTAGTACAAGCTCGTGCTACTGAACTACATGATTTCTCTTATATTTCTAATTGAGTAACATAAATATTACACAGTAAAAGTGGTGCAATTGAAGAATATACACACTAGAAATATTTACTTTCAGATTGGAGGGACGTACACAAAGCCATTGATTTTACCATCTCAGGTTGCAATTGGTGCAATAGGAAAAGTTCAGGTAAAGTGACTAGAACTTAACTAGTTAATTACCACACATTTTTGTCCAAATTTTATAATGAAGGAAACAGATGAAATAATAATGCAAGGAACTGCCAACTGCAAACAGTGAGAAACTGTTGTGCTAATTTTTGTACTTTGTGATTTGAAGTAGCACTCCTTCATATTCAGTAGTTCTGTGGACCATGCCTCAGTCTAGAGACTGGCTATACTGACTTCTCTTTTTTCACTTTCGGTCTCCAGTTCCTCCAGGCTCCTGACCAAGCATACATCAAACTAAGACATTGCTGTTTCCTTACATGTCCATTCCAGTTAGTCACTTATTATCCCATAATTTGATGGTGCATCATGTAAGCTATTGAAAACATTTTAAATAAATACATATGCAAATAACTGAAATTTGTGATTTGAGTGTGCTGATCGCCCTTCAGTAGCATGAATTTTGTGATATATCCAATACAATTGAAAAGACAGGGTCGGCTGAAAGCTGTGCTACATTTGTATCTTTTGTAAATATGTCTCACACTCATTTTTTTAAAGACAAGATTATTGTACATCTTTAAAGTACAATGAGCCCAGCTTAAGAAGATCCTATTTAAAATGGTTTCCTGCTTAATAAATAAAATCATTTAGCACCAAGTGTAATGCTGTTAAGAATAATTGAAGTATTTCTTGCATAAAAGGATTTCCATCCTAAGAAGAGCTAATTTTAAAGATTACATATTGAACATATTACCCATTTAGTAAGTTTTTGTCAGATTGCATTACATATACAGGATGTAAATAAATATATGTTACAGCACTGTGGTAGATAGATGGGTTTAATCTGATCATGTTTTGTAAATACACCAATGTCCGGAAATGCTTTGTTTATGTGTTAGGGCCTCTGAAATGTGAAGGAGGACGCCCTTACCTCTTACCTCTTTGGCTTACTGGTGACACTTACCGAACATTTCTCCAAGAGACCTTACCAAGCTGCTGGAATTGATGCCTTTGGAAGCCCATCATGAAATGTGGTTCCAGCATGATGACACCCCAGCACGCTGAACTAAGGTTGTCTATGAGTATTTTGATGAAACTTTTGGCAGCAGATGGATTGGACGTGGAGGTCCAGTAAACCTGGTCCCCTCGCTCCTCAGATTGACTCCACTGGATTTCTTTCTCTGGGGATACATGCAAAGCCTGGTGTATGAGACTCCCGTGGAGACACAACATGATCTTGTGGCAAGAATTGCGGTAGCAGCCAGAACCATCTGGGAAATGCCGGGAATCTTTCAGAGAGTTCAACATAACATGGCCAGGTGGTGCAGAATATGCAGTAAAGTCACTGGCTGCCATTTTGAGCAAATTTTATAATGCAAAACAGTGACAACATCCCATAAAACTTATGTATCCTCAGAAACTTTTCTGACCCTTAGTGCCAAAAGAAAGCATTTCTGAATGGGTATATTAACAAAATATTATCAAATTGATCCCATCTATCTGCCAAAGAGTTTTGTAACATATATTTATTTACATTCTGTATACTGCAGTCGGTATAGTGACTGGCTACAGGCTGGATGACCGAGGAGTCTGAGTTTGAATCTTGGGAAGGTCAAGAATTTTCTCTTCTCCATGTTGTCCAGACCAGCTCTGGGCCCATGCAGTCTTCTCTCTAGTGGGTACTGGGGGCTCTTTCCCCAGGGGTAAAGTGGGTGGCGTGTGAAGCTGACTGCTCACTTCCAGCTAGAGCCAAAGTCAAGAAAATGTGGACCTATACATCCACTCCCATACATATTCATGGCATAGTGTCTAATTAGTTAACTGGTTAAGTGGGTGTGATGTCTTGACGCATCATGAGCATCATGGGACATGTGGTAGCATAGTTGGTTGATGCACTGTGCTACAAGCTGGAAGGTTGTGGGTTCAAGTCCCAGTGAGGTGGATTTTTCAGTTGACATATAATCTTTCCAACTACACTATGGCCCTGGGGTGAACTCAGCCTCTGACAGAAATGAGTATCACAAATCTTCCTGGGGTGTAAAGAGTGGCTGCTGACAACCTTACCACCATCTCAGTGAATTGTCTAGAGAAAACATGGGAGTCTCAACATCTCACAACCCTATGGGCCTTCACAGCCTGTTACAGGGATATTTTTTACTGAAGGCATCATTGAATAACCAAGAAAAATGTTTTTCTATATGGTAGCATGGTGTTTGTGTGCGAGCTTGTGTTTGGTGATATGTGTATTGAATTTCATGAATTTGCATGAAAGTAAACTAAGCTGTATATTGTAAGATTTGAGGCTTTCATGGCGGTGACTATGAAGAAAGCAGTCTTATGGGATTTGGCACCATGTACGAGTATATGTGGTGTTAACCACATATACACGGTGCCAAATCCCAGAAGACTGCTTTCTTCAAGCTGTATATTATTTAGAGCTGTAGTCACTCACTCAAGGAGCTCAGCCCTTCTTGAGAAGCTGCCAATTGTGCAGCTACTCAAGAACTTCCCAGCATTTTATGGAACCTGAAGGTTCATTACCGTTATCACAGGAGCCCTCCACTGATCCCTGTCCTGAGCCAGATCAATCCAATTCATACCATCCCATCCTATCCCTCTAAGACACATTTTAATATTGTTCACCCACCTACATCTTGGTCTTCCCAGTTGTCTCCTTCCTTCCCTCTTTCCCAACAGTATCCTTTATGCATTCCTCCTCTCCCCATTTGTGCTACATACCCTGTCCATCTCATCCTCCTTTCCTTGATCATTCTAATTGTACTTGGAGAAGAGTACAAGTTATGAAGCTTGTCATGCAGTTTTCTCCAACCTTCTGTCACTTCATCTCTCCTCAGTCCAAATATTCTCATCAGCACCCTGTTCTCAAACACCCTCAGTCTGTATTCCTCCCTCAAAGTCAGAGACCAGGTTTCACCCCCCATACAGAACCACAGGCAAAATTATAGTTCTGTATATTCTAATTACAAATCTATAATTTTGCTTGTGGTTCTATATGGTTGTGAAACCTGGTCTCTGACTTTGTAGTCATGGCCACAAAAACAAATGTAAAACATAAGGCATTATCAGTTTCTAAGGAACTGGAGATGATTCAGAGGATGGATGATCAACCACATGTGACATGTGCAAAGGTTGTGGAACAGCTTGGCATATCACTGTCAGTGCTAAATAATGTTATGGTGAACAGGAAAACAATGTTATCAGTGTGTAACTACTCAGCCAAGGAGAAAAATGTTAAAAACTTCTAAATATGAGAAGACTGAATAGGGTCCTGTTTTGAAACAGGAGGCTGAAGATATAGCCACAAAACATGCAGGGCTTGCCCACAGGATTATGAGCAGGGAATCCAAAAGAGCAATTGAAGAAGAATTTGGTGCCTGAAAGGTGGGAGTGAGTGCCTTCCTGTATTTACTGCAGATAAAAGTTTTTCAGCCTACTTCAAGGCAGGAGGATTGCTTGTGTGTGCAGATATTGGTGGATCAGAGAAGCCACATTCCTTCAAGCATGTGAAGTCCTTGCCATGTACATACAAGCATAACAGTAGCACATGGATAACTTACATGTTACTCATGGAATTCCTTACATGTTTGTAAGGGGAATGGCAACCCAAATCTGTTTGATGCCATATCAGTGCTTTCAGCATTATGGATTGCTGTCAGTCAGGAATAGAATTGCAAATTTTTATTGGAAGGCCAGGTTCTATTAAACACTGAATCCTCATGTTCATGGTCCCTTAGTAGAAAACCTAAAAGGGATTGATCCACTGCATCTGTTTTGGTGTTCCTTTGTTTTCACACTTTTCATACTGGACTGTGCTAATTAAATCATAGAAGTAGGAATCACTTACTGTAATTTCTGTTCCTTCCCTTACAGCAACGTTTCAGATGTTGGTTGGTTGGTTTCCAATGGCTGCATTTGGGATTGTTTAGCCCATTTTGCTTCTTGCGTCCCAGTAGAGAGCACTCAAGTTCTTGTTTTGTTGCATCTCCTTGTTAAGATTAGGGCATTGAAGAAGGTGTTCTTTTCCCATAGATGATCCAATCAAGATTTTTGCAGAAATTAATATAGTTTGGTTTATTCAGTATTGAATGGTATTTTCTCCAGTATTTACTGATTTGCATGTATGCCTACAGAAGTTTAATAATATGTGCTACTGCTTTTGGTCAATAGTTTGACTCAGTGACTCATCAGCTTTCTGGTATTGATTGCAAATTGGAGGTTTCTTTCTTTATTTTGTGTTTGATTATGATAATAAATTCCTTTCGTTGTGTTATAAAAGGTTTTGGAAACACATGAGTGAATGATTCCAAAGCAATTTTCTTTCACTTTCTTCCTCCACCACACTCTAATGGAGAGACTGGGTAGAATATTTTCCTCATTGACATTAGTTGTGGTGTGTGTTATGCAAGCACATGCAGTTGGCAGGGAAAATGCAAAATTTAAATTGTTACACTTTGTCAATATTTGTGAGTGATATATAATATTTCTTTGCTGCTACCTTCTTAACACAGCATTGCCATGAACACATAAAATTAGAATATCTGACAGTGTGTTGGAATAATGCGTGTTGCCCTTAGTCACATGCTGCTGAACAAGCATAGTGTCCTTCTATTGGCATTATCACATACTATCTACTGTGTCATTGGTAGTCTCAGAGAAACTCATTTCAAGTTACTGTTAACCAAATGTGAGTTCATAATATTGCGGTATGTGTACAGTTAAAGCATTTATGTGTAATATCATATTTTCAAAATGTATATTTTTGTATGCTGAATAATACAAGAAAGATTTTACACAAGTACAACATGAAGAAGAAGAATGAATGATGTAAGTCATATTGAATTTGAAAAGTCAGTCACAAATCATAATGCCATTTTCATGTTGATTTCTTAACAAAAACATTGAGTTATGCTCTCTGTTTTAAAGTGGAAGTTAAAAATTCAACAGAAGTGACTGATGCAAAAATTTTTTTAATAATTTCCATTTACTAATCACTTATGTCCACTGTATACTTCCCTTTAGACATGTCGTGTGCTTTTTCTTTAACATTCCTGTATTTCATGCCAGTCATAACAACATTCATTTGATGTTTCACATTATTAAACCCAGCAAGTGTCATTAATTCAGGGATTGCAGTATGAAAACCATGGAACATATATTTAATATTATATTGGCATTTACCAAAAGATGCACAAGGACACAGACAGCATGTACTGAAGACATTTTGTAGAAACATGAGCATTTTATTATAAGATGCTTGTGTTCTATGGATATGTTAAGTTACATGTTTATTCTGTTGTATTGTATTGCATTTTATGGTATCAGAAAAATAACTAACACATGCTGTTTACAGATTACAAAATCAATCCTTGATATATGTTGAACTTCAGTTCATTTTATTTACAAGTTTCAATAAACCATTGTAACAGTCACAAACACAAACACAGTAAACTATAATATTCATGAATCAGTATGTACATATGTCTACTATACTTGTGCTGTTATAGTTTGCATAAATCTTCCATATTTATTCATTGCCTGCCAGTATTATTGTAACATGTCACATAAAATTGGAAACATTCAATGAATTTGCATATGACAAAACAGAGAAAACACTCACTTCAAATTGTTTTCAGTGTGAGCACTGTGGACTGTTCTCTCAGTAGTAGCAAACTGAAGTGAGTGTGAAGCAGATTCATCTGTTAGTGAGTAATGTTATTGAGATTTTGTGTAGGCTTAGAGCAGCTCTGGGACCCACCCAGCCTCCTATCCAATGGGTACCAGAGGCTCTTCTTCTAGGTAGAGCTATCCTCCACTGTGTCTTCATGGCATGGTTTTTAATTAAATTCAGGGAAAACCACTTTATTTTATTTTACCTTACCCTAGTTTTCCAGTAAAACCTTTTCACTTAAATCTTCTTCTGTGGAAGATTTTCTCTGAGCATTCCCAGGATCTGTGATTTTCTACATTACATGCAGGTAGTAAATGTTACCATATATGTACTATTCATACTGGGGCTCCNAAAGTACGCCCATTAGTATGTGTTATCACAATTACACCAATATGAATTTCATTCAGAATAAACCTTAACTATAGATTTATAGACCATTCCAGGTATTCATTTATTGAATAGAAGGATTACCTTAAAGGGAAATTTTTAGTGACTAATCTAAATTTCTTAACATCAGTTGATAATTTTCTTATGTTCCATGGTAAATGATTAAATATTACAATACCCATATAATACACACCCTCACAGCCCTTTTTGTACTTGGTCAGCTTTACAGATGGTAAGTGTAAGCTGCAACTCTGTCATGTATTTATAGTATACATTTCAGTATTAATCACAAATAGATGCATATTTTTCACTACCAATAGCAATAAAGAGAATGTATATTGGGAATAAAAAGGCAGTATATTTAAACGTTTAAAAAATCCCCGACAAGATGCTTTAGGATTTGCATACATAATAATTCTTATAATTCTTTTTTGAACCATAAAAATATTTTTACTATTTGCAGCATTTCCCCAGAAGGCAATTCCATATATCATAATAGAATGACAGGGTCATAACCTGGAGGGATATAATATGAATGTTCATTGAGATGAAGAACTTAGTTCTCATGTACAGGGGTTGGACAAAATAATGAAAACCCCACAGATATTGTACGCATTTCTTTATTAACATGGTGTTGGACCACCTTTTTCCTCCAATGCAGCCACACTCCTTCTTGATATGGACTTTTACAAGTTTTCAACACTGCAGCAGAATTTTATACCGTTCTTCTTGAAGAACATCAAGTTGCTTTAGAGATGTTGGAGGTGGGAATCTGTTCCTCACGCTAATCTACAAAACTGACCAGAGTCATTAAGTGATATTCAAATCTGGTGACTGTGCTGGCCAGGGAAGATGTTGAAGTTCACCTTCATGCTCTTCAAGCCATGACTGAACAGTGAATGGGAACATCGTCATCTTGGAAAACTGCATTTTTCTTTGGAATAATATCTGGATCATGAGATGCACCTGATTACCCAACCTGTCCACGTACTCCCTTGCAGTAATTAGGCCATGAAGGGTAATACTGGGACCAACAGAATACCCCAAACCATCACAGAACCTCCCCCATGTTTCAGTATGGGAACCAGGCATCCTGGACTATATTCTTCTTTGGTGTTCTCCAGAAGTAAACTCTTCCTGATGTATGGAACAGTGTGAAGGACAACTCATCTGACCATATGTACATTTCCAGTTGTCTGGTGCCCAGGTTTTATGGTTGTGACACCATTGTTTAAGTATTTGAACATTTCTTTCAATAATTATAAGTTAGCAGTTGCAGGCCCTACCATAGATGTTGGATCTGTAAAGCTCATGTTGAACAGTTTTTGTGGAAACGTGGTCTTCAAGATGAGTATTCAGTTCTGCTACCCTGTTACCTGTGCTTCAGTAGTTCTCTTCTTCTTTTTTTTTTTTTAGCAGTCCTTAAAGTACAAGTATTTCTTTCCATCAGTGTTGATTTTTGCCCACTGTTCCTCTTCACTGATGATTCATGTATGCTGACATTACCTTAGAAACTGTTGCTCTTGATACATCAAATGTGGCACTTTTTGTCCCAGATGGTCCAGCTAAATGCACACCAAAAATCTGTACTCTTCAAAATCGAACAAGCCTCACATTTTTCCGATTCCTTCACACTGATTATCACTCAACACAATTACTGATGTACTGATGTGAGAACTTCAGAATGTAAACAAATGGAAGGACATTCAGTGCTGCCAGCTGAAGTTCTTTCAGAATAACCAACACAAATTCTGTTCCTCAATTTCTTAGTGTTTCTATTATTTTGTTCACTCTCTTTGTATGTTTATTGATATTTATACATCTTTAAAAAAGCTCACCACTATTTACAGATTGTCCCTCAGTATGACCTTTATGGGAATTTGATCAAAGCTCAACTGGTTTGTGTGAGTTGGACAGCTGATCATAGAGTCATTGATGGAGCAACTATGGCCAGATTCTCAAATACTTGGAAGAAATACATTGAGAATCCTTTTCTTCTATTGTTTGATGCTTGATTGCAGTTGAACAATGGCAGTGGTATTTAATTTTTATTTTTCATTTTTGGGGTTGTGAATGTTCTGCGGGAATGTGTGTAAGAGAATATTGTAAATTGAAAATGTGCTTTATGCTGTTCTTGTGGAGTGTAGACTAATGGAAGAAACATAATAAAAATATGCAGGGTATCAACAAAATAGCCTCAGAAAGTTGTGTTTAATTGCAAGTTAATGTATGATATGTATATTTGAAAATAAGATGATATTGTACTATGTTAAGTACAACTTAGTTGAGTATTTCTTGGTTACAGCATAATGCTTCAGTAAAGAAATGAGCGATCATCAGTCTCTTGTAGAGTTTGCAACAATAAGAAATTAATCGAACATCTAAAATATACTGCAGGACATACTGGTCTGCATATACTAGGTGGTTCAAATATGACCGGGACTGATTTTTTTGTAAACAAGCTGCACTGCGCAGCAGCTGTGCAACCTTGAGAGAGTGAAGCCACAACCCCCCCCCCCCTCCTGTTAGGGTTAGAACCTGTTCAGTCCTGTCTGGAAGTTGCTAGAGTGATGTACATAAAGAGACAAAGAGCACAGTGTGTTTTAATTAAACCTTTGTTGTATAGCTTAAGTTATGTAGTGGTAATAAAAATGTCATAATATCAGAGTGTTTCAGCAACTGGAATATGTTTCCAGGGTAGTCCATGCAGTGAGTGAAAATCAAAATCCCGTAGCTCAAAATGAATTTCCATTACTTTGATGCCTTTTGTCATAGTCTGTGTTGTTCCATATTTCAGATCCATAATGGAGGTTGGTAGAAGGTAATACTTGTATATTGTACACTTAGCAGGAATATAGCATTGAACAAGTGTTGGAACAGTCCAGTAAATTTGAAAATGTATCTTTTTGGATTCATACGTATCGCCACATGTAGGAGTCACTCTAGATGGGGTTTGAATTGGTAATTGGATTTATTGCACACTTACACACAACTTGCAACTAAAAGTAAGTACAGTGCTATTGCTTATTCACACTCTGCCATTCACTACAGCACATGCAAAGTCTTCTCAGTCTGCTGTATCTTCACCGGTTGTCGCCTGGCAATGGCATCCGAAGACGTAGCTTCCCCCTCTTCCATGTTCATGTCCTTGCTGGCTGGTGACTATCTCACAACTAACTCCTACTCTTCTAACTACCGCCTGAAGACTTGCAATCCCATCAGCTCCTCGTTAAATAGCCTCAACATGGACCACACAAAAAACCTCCAAATCTGTTGTTGCATAACATAGCTGTCATAAGGACCTTGTAGAGAACTCCGCTTTGCAGTTACTGAACTCTTGCATGTTACAAATCTGTTATGACCATTATCTAACAACGGCTGTTTTATAGCAGCATATTTTGTGATCGTTGCCTAGCAACGGGTCTGCATGCCACATTGCTCTACTACAGGCATAACGCCATTTCTTCTCCAAAGTGTGTGCTTGTAACATCTGTGATCGGTCTTGCCTTCCTTCACCCATGACTTGGTTCCCATGGTAATTGCTCTCCAAATGTTCCCGCTTCTCCCTCAAGGCCACTGGTCCCTAGCAGTTCCCAGAAAAGGTGTGAGCCAGTCCAGGTTTACTACCATCATCCTCTATTTAGGTTCCACTAGATTCTGTATACCACTTCATTTATCCTTACCTTGCATGGGCCCTTTCATGAGAATTGGAGCTTGGGCGATTTCCCCTTCATGTGGGTTGGACGACAGAGCCATACTTTGTCACCCTTATTGTAACCCACACAGTTGGCCAGGCTTTCATAACGAGTTTTCATCTGGTCGTTGGCTGGCTTCAGATGTGGTGTAGATGGTCCACTAAATTCGCTGTGTTATCAATTGTGGATCGTGATAGTGCTTGACCATGTCTGGCTGCAGATGTAGGGCTGCGGTGTGCATCTTACTGACTCCCAGGCATTGCAAAACCTTATGTATCAGATGACAATTGAAGCAATGGCCCTGTTCACTATGTAGCTCCCCCCATACTCTGATGCGGTAGAAGTTGGTAACCAGCGCTTCCGCCACTGTCGAAGCTTCTTGGTTGGGAATGGCGCAGGTTTCCGGCCACTCAGTAAAATGATCCATAGCAATCAGGAGGTATCAGTTTCCTTGGTCACTCCATGGAAAGGGCTTTGCTACATGGATGGGTGTCCTTTCAAGCGGGACTCCAATGTCATATGATGTATTAGGCCCCGATCCTGGTTCCGGAGTTGTGATTTCCGCATAGGTGTCGTTTCTTACCTGAAGACGCCAGTAATGCCTTTGCAGGACCATATCCAGGGTTTTGACACGCAACTGACTTCCTGATGGTCCACCATGTAGTTCGGTCAGCACGTTATTCACTCTGTTTCGAGGTGGAATTGTCAGGGCTATTTTTGATCATAACCCGTCGGCAGATTCCCAGTGGCGCTCTTAATATGCCATTCCTCATGGCGAGTGATTTCCATTGGCCCAGTAGGTTTTGTACACGTGGCTACGGTTTGTAATGTTTTTCCATGCTCAGTGTTCGGTCTCTACTTCCTCCAGAATGGGCCTTGGTCATTTATAGACATGAAAGGATACTGACAATGATGTATGCTGTACAGAACTCTTTTTGTCTTATATATACCAGACGATGGATAGAGTCCAAAATAAGCCTAATAGTTCTTGGTCATTTAGTAACCTTTTTTAAGCGGCTGAGTCTTAGCCAGCTGCGAATACAGCCGCGCTATCTGTGTCATCTAATTTTAACAGTGATTACACTCTTCTCGGCATGGTTGTCAGGAAATGGCATCGGCATTATTGTGTTTTCGGCCATGAGGATGGTTGGAAGTGAATTTATACTCATGTAAGCGCACAAACTAGCGGGCAATTTGTCCCTTGAAGTTCTTAAAACTCATGAGCCAGGTTAATGCAGAATGGTCGGTGCGCAAGTTGAAAACTCTTGTCCCTACAGGTCCTTATGGAAATTTTCCAGTATCCACACGGTGGCCAGTAGTTCCTGCTGGGTGACGCATTAATTTCTCTTGGCATTGTTCAGTGTCTTACTGTATTAGGAATTACTCGATTTTGTTCATCCTGTATACCTGGGACAGCACTTCTCCAAACCTGGGGTTACTTGTGTTTGTGTCAGTGGTAAACCTCTCTCTTGACTGCAGGTAAGCAAGAATACGGGCAGTACAGAGGGCCTCCTTTAGTGTTCAGAAGGTGGTCTCTATTTCTGGCATCCACTGGAAGGCTTGTTTCACCTTGAGTTTGATTTCGGTTTCCCCATGTTGGTGTAATTGGAAATAAACCGCCTGTATTGTGTACATAAGCCAGGAAAGCTTCTTACTTCGTTGTTATTCCCGGGCTCAGCCATTCCTGTATGGCTTTCAGCTTCTTGGGGTTGGTGGTTATCCCCTTAAGTGACACAGTATGCATGAGGTACCGTACTTCCTTCTGAAAGATTTGCATCTTCTCTGGATTGAGCATTAGGCGCACTTCTCTGAACTGCTGGAACATATTCGGTGGGTTGAGCTTTTATTTTTGGAATGTACGGCCAATCATGATTATGTCATCCAGGTACATGACACATGACTTTGAAGACAGTCTCCATTAACTGCTAAAACGTTGCTGGAGCGTTGCAGAGGCCAGAGGGCATGATTGTGAAGTGCCATAGCCATTGAGCCATTGAGAACATAGTCTTCTTTGTTGTTGGACACAGATCCACTTGCCAATTATCGATATTCATTTCCAGAGTGGAGAACCATTTGGCTCCTGACAGCATGTCCAGAGTGTCATCAGTCCAGGCAGTGAGAAACAGTGTTTCTTTGTGACGTTTAGTTTCCTATAGTCCACGCAGAAGCGGATGTCCTCATTCTTCCGGACGACTTCGGGGGATGACCAGGGGCTGACTGACTCTTCGATAACCCCCATGTCATTTCATGCCGAGCATCTCGCTTACTTCCACCTGTTTTGCTAGGGGGATCCTTCTCAAGTTTGGTGAATCTGTCAGGCCTCTCATATCTATACAGTGGTGCACTGTCAGTCCGTCTGTAGTCATCGCTCTTCTTCATAGCAAAGATATCTCTGTACTCAGTATGGAGCTTTTCCATCACATGTGCTTCAGCATCACTTATGTTTGGCCTGGTTGCTGCAGTCATGTCCTGAAACTTAGAAGCAATTCACAAGAGCATGTATGAAGTCTTCTCAGTCTGCTGTATCATCATGGGTTTTCACCTGGTAATGGCTTCCAGTGCCATTGTTTTTTCAGCTTCCATGTCCACATCCTTGCTGCTTGGTGATTGACTCACAGCTAACTCCTACTTTTCTAACTGCAGTCTTGAAACTTGTAATCACAACTGCTCCTCATTATATAGTCTTGGCACGGACCGCACAGAAAACACCTCTCCCAACAGCTCTGTTGTTGAATCATCTAGCTATCGTATGGACAACATAGAGAATTCTGCTTCCCAGTTACTCCATTGTAGTGTGTTACAAATCTGTTGCAACCATTTCCCAGTAACGGCTGTTGTATGGCTACTTATTTCACAGTTGTTCCCCAGCAATGGGTCTACATACTACAATATTTTACTAGAAAATTACAAAATCTGTGTAGTACACGTTTTTGCCAACCACTGTGAAGCATATGAGCATGTCTGATGATTGCAGTATGTCATATTCATTACAACTGCAACCTTTCTATATATATATATATCTGTGTGTGTGTGTGTGTGTTTTTATGGAAAATTTTCACCTTAATAATAAAAGAATACAAAAATATTTGCTCTGTAGATAGTGAAGTGCTATTACTGACAGGAAAGAATTGTATGCAAATATGAAAACATTTTCTTGCCGAAGTTACATATATTGTTTGGGCCATGTTACGATATATAACAAGAACAAATATCTACCCTGTCAGTATATTAGTGTTACACAAAGTATATAGAATCTTGTGTAAATGGGTTAATTTCTTCAGTACTTTCATCATAATGATTCCTAGCTAGCAGCAACTTTTTGCACATTGCATGTTTGGTTCCCAAGCTCTTTATAGCTGGCAGCCCATAAGGGCCCCATTAAATCATCCTGTGTGCCTCTACTATGCTCAGGACAAAAAAGACACATTCCAAAATCTTATAACTGTATGTATGAACACAGATTTTATGTCGCTTTGAGGCTGAAGTTGCAGAGCTGTTATAATTCATAATCATAAAACATTGACTGATGGTTGTGAGCTCAAGAGATTGTGTAAGCATGAGAAAATCTTCAACTTTTCTGTTCAGGTAATATGAAATATGTCAAGAATGTTCTATTATTCCCATTGCTTTCATTTCTAGGCGATAACCACTTCAAGCAACTTAGGAAATATTCACATAATGTAACAGTTAGGCATTCACTGTGTTATTCACTGTAGACAGAACAAAATCCACTTTGCTTCATGGTCTTAAAACTGAGTAATGTGTGCATAAAGTGTAATGGACAAAAAATGTGAGTTTCATATCTGTCTACAACTTTCTTCAAAAAGTTTATATCCTGATAAATATTTAGTGAGTTTGCATGATTTTTACATGAGATGTGGGCCTAAATGCATTTTTGTAGTGTTCATCATCATATTTTAACTGAAACTGAAATATGTTGATACCTTTTAGTAAAACTCCCCAGTATCAAATTCACGTAACTGTTATCAATTTGCTACATGGAGGTAGGTGAACAGACATGATGAATCTAATATGGGCGTTTTTGCAAGTTTCATTGCAAATGCACCAAAATGAGTAATTACCGTGGTGCCTTCTTCATTTTCTTAACTCTTAGAGTTATTTGTAATTAGAGGCAGGGCTTGAAGATTATGTTTTCCATCTATTTTCAGATACACTGTATTGTTTATAATGAGCAATTTTATAGATTTTATAAATTATTGTTATGTGAAGGCTGTAAAGTATCTCTTTACAGCTTGAAATATTTTAGCGGGGAAGGATAGTATGATTCTGTGATAAGTATGAATTATGATATGTTTATGGCATAGCCTTAATGCAGAAGATATGTACAAGTACAAGTACAAATACAGTAAAACTTGGTTATAGCAACATCGGTTTCTGCGACACCTTGTCTATTGCGTCAAATATTCAATGGTACGAACTAATTCCTCATAAAGCAACTGTTTTTATACCTTGCTTAGNGCAGGTTGTTAACTGCATTCCTTTCCTAGAATCTCGTCTAACAGGACCTCACATTGTCTACTTACCCTATAGTGTTCCTGCCTAAACCCAGAGAAGTGCAGTAGCGAAAACATGGCAATGAAAAGGAAAGTTTTAAGCATTGAAGAGAAAGTTAAAGTGATTCGTGAAATAGAAAATGGAAGGAAAAAAGCTGATGTATGCCGCGAATTTGGTTTGGTGAATTCTACAGTACAAACAATATGGAGAATCCATATTAATTCCACGTTAATGTTACGTTAGTCTGTACTTAACTACGTATTTCACTAAAAAATGCAACATTTTAACTCGGTTTTTGGTAGATTTTTACGTGACTAATATAAGGCTACTGTGGAAGTGCCCATTTCGGTTACAACGACATTCGTTTATAACGACACTCTTTTTAGGTCCCTTTGATGACGTTATAACCAAGTTCTACTGTATTATAATATTATATTATAGCATCCCGTTGTATTGAGATATCATTCTGTTTGCTATAGTATCCATCAGCAATATAAAATACATTAAGAATATGCCATTCATTTAAAATGTATTTTGATACTATGATTGTTAAAATCATTAAAATGTCCATAGGACACTACAGGTATTCACCTTTATACACTTAAAGTGATGTCAGAATTCATCGGACTGTCTTAATTTTACATGTATTTTCTTAGTTTTTCACTACATGTTTCAGCCATCATCAGGTGTATTGTACTCTCTGGGGAGACCACTGCACTGTACTTGTTCTCCGTGCTCCATTTGTGCATGTTAAAGTTTAGTTCATGCTAGTTGTATTTTTGCAGCTATTTTGTGGCCATTAATACTGTAATATATATAGTTCTAATATACATTAATACTGTAATATATATAACGTGTATTAGAATGACTAGTATACACTATCAAACTAAAAAACTAAGAAAATACATGTAAAATTAAGACAGCAAAAAGGAAAATATTATAAGTTTAAGAAAGATGATGTCCTTGGTCGGTATCAATGTTGACATAAGTATAAAGTGCCGTAATTAAAAAAAATATTTGAACTTATTTACATTATATCTAAAGGATTCCTGCATACTTTTTCCCCCCTCCTAATGTACCTGCTTTCCAGCGATGATGTAGATCTTCAATTTAAGTCCTGAAGAAATTTGTGAACCTAACTTGCTCCTATTTGGACTGCAGTTTTGTTTCCTCATCACAAACTGAGGCTGCATTCCTAATGTAAGACCAGAAATGAGTCAGAATTTGAAGACTAGTTGCAATATGCTGTCACTACTTCAGTGAAGATGAAAATTATAAAAATGACTACATTAGGTGGAAATGAATTTTCAACATACTGGAATTTAAGGTTTAGTTACTTTATCACTGCAAAATAATCTCTAGATAAAGAAATGTATTACATGAAATCTAAAAGGGTGTAGCTTAATATGGTGTTGATGGTTCTCAAGTATAACTCTG